AGAAAAGTTAAGTCGTTAATTTGTGTACGCACATTACGTTCTATATCCTCGCAATTACCACGCAGTGTTAATTTTAAAATTTCCTGATTAATGAAACATTTGGGTAATTTCAATTCGATTTCTTGAATTAAATATAAAGCACACTTGTTAACATTATCGGATAAATATTCTAATTGTTTTAAACGCGCATCGACGCACTTTACAATGCTTCGCAGTCCGAGGAAGGTGGTTTTTTGCATCACAACTGCCGCTACGTAGGTTCTCCGTTTCTTCGCCGAAGGAGTTGAATCGAGCGCGTCCTCTTCTTTTCGAAGATTTTTGTTGGAATTTTCCTCTTCTTCTTTATACGTTAGCAATATTGATTTTGACCCATAAGATGTGGTAAAGCTGATGGTGATATTTTTTATAACAACAAAGTTAGGTTTCACTCTGTTATCGCTGCTTAAATATTCGTTCATGAGTTCCATGTTATCTTGAAACTGTTGCCAGCGGTCGGCGTCAAAATAAATTCCGTCTGCGTTATGTTCCCCCAATTTTACAACAGGTTTGAAGATTTCTTGTTCGTTCTTTGCAATCCTACGTGAATCGTCTTCGTATGAGAATTGTTAAGGCCATACGATGTTGCTAACAACATATGAAGTCGAGCGTTTCTTCTCTCGTCGATGTCGTTACGTAGCTTGTAAGAATCGGAGATGGATTGCATGCTCACGTCCGAATTATTAATATTTTTTGAACAGGCCATTGTTCTTATGACGTAGTAGTAGTAGTAGTACCAAATTCAACCAAGATGATGAATAAAAACACAAGAAGCACAGTACTTGTTTGCTCACGAGGCTGAAGCTACGGACGATGAGACTCGATTTTCGTTAGTATTTATAGGTTTTCATCGACATTCCCACCCTCTCCGACGCTGCGCATAAATAAAATTATTCTGTGCGCAGATGAAAAAAATAAAAACATAAACTTTCTTAAAATTTTTCTTAAAAATTTAAAATAATCTTTACCCCCCGTAAAAAGTCAGGTGAGGTGGTGAGAACAAGATAAACCGAACCATTAAAATTGTTTTTTTTGTATCTTCTGAAAGGTTTTAATGTTTATCAGGCATAGACCGATATTGTGTGACATTCCTTTCCAGTGAGTGGATAAAAAAAAACAAGATAAAAGCGAAATGAGAGAGTTTTTTTTTTCGTGATAATTTGTATTGTGGTCAGAAAAGCTGATTGTGAACAAGATAAACCGAGGCATTGAAATTGTTTTTTGTTTTTTCTGAAAGGTTTTAATGTTTATCAGACGTAGACTGATATTGCGTGAGATTCCTTTCTAGTAAGTGTATACAAAAACAGAAGATAAAAGCGAAGTGAGAGAGATTTTTTTCGTGATAATTTGTACGGGGTCAGAAAAGCTGTTAGACCGACCATAGGGATGGTGATAGCTCAAAAGTTTTTGTCATCCTCGCTTCTCAAAATTTTATGAGAAAAGCACTTCTAGTAAAGGAGGCGGACGATTACCAAAGTCGTCAAAAATCTATGGACCTATGAAGGGACTAGGAATTTTTGTCGAGTCTTTTCGTAGGAGAGGAATTTTTATGAATGTCGCTACAGGCATAAATAGCACGCCTGATCGAGCTAAAGTTTAGTCCTACATTCAAACTCCGAAGCGAATTATACTATTCGCGTGTTTTTTTAATTTAATTTAACAATGGATCTTCGAGGGTTGTTAGGAAAATTTTTTATCGTAGCTGGCAACTTAAATAAAAAAATAGTTGCTGGCGATTATCTGACAAAGTTGTCAGATAACGACGAGAAAAATTATTCCGTTTTCGGGAAATTTATTGGTGAGTGCTCCAGCACACTAGTGTGCGTTATGCACAAACTAGGACATTGTGGTGGTGACGTAAAATTACAAAAAATAATCGCAAGTCATCTCGAAATACGTGAGTGCTTCGGTCACGAGGAGGATGACGCCGGAAGTCACATAGCTGACTTCAAGCGATACACTGAACTAAGAGGTAAGCACTAATAATTTTAAAAATAGAACCTAATACATATTAGAAAAGCTGATTTTATAATTAATAAATATTATAATTTAATTATAATAATTATTTCATAGATGCCTGCAGTAATGTAGGGCGTGCGATACCGCATCGCGAGGGTCGGCCGATAAGACGACTCTCTTTAAGGAGACGTCGCCCTGCGGGAGAAGAAGAAGAAGAGGAGGGAGTACCAGCGAGTAAGTTTTAGAGAAATAAATATTAACTAAGCGATTATATAGAAATCCCGAATATTAAAATATTTTATTTTTTCTAGGAAGAGCACGAATCGAAGGGGAGGATAATGTTCCGGCTCCACATGACGTCCCCGTCATTGTAATCGGTAGGTATTTCGAGAAATACTCCGTGAAATCTAGTTCGTATAATATAGTTGTAATATGCGATAAAGAATAAAATCAATTTTGTTTTAGATGATGACGGTGACGATAACACTCATGGGGATGACACCGTGAGTCCAGCCGATTCCAGAGCACTGCTCTCTCCCCCGGCTTCCACAATTATCATAACGTGTAAGTTTTTTAAAAATGTAAATTAGATGAATATAGAGAGAGTTAGCTATATACAGAGTTCAAAAATAATAATAATAATAATAATAATAATAATAATAATAATAATAAAAATTACTTTTTAGCTCAGGAAACCGAAGAGGAAATGGGGGAGGAAGAGGAAGAGGAGGAGGTGGAGGAGGAAGAAGAGGAAGACAACACCGATAATGCTGATAATGATGATGATGATAATGATGATGATAACGATGACAGAGGCGATAATGCTGCCAATAACATGGAAATCATCTCCAACGAGATTAGCAACGTCGATGACAACGGCGATGATGGAGAGGAGGAGGAGGAGGAAGAGAGGGAGGAAATAACTCAGGAAGCAACAGAGGAAGAAGATAACAGATATTACGTGCCTCTTGGAAATGAAGGTAATAATCTTTTTATTTTTATTTTTAATTTATTTGTTGCTCGAGATACTTATGAAGATATTTTTTATTAGATATTTCATACTCCCCCGTTCAACATATGTCGCCGGAATACTAATTTTCATAAGAGAGAAAAAAAAACATTATCCTCCCTCGCCCGATCATGTAAACAACTGCAGGTGAGTTATCTTGCCATTGCAGTAAAGTTACGAATAGTTTCTAACTTATTGCAATATATTATATATATATGTATATATAAATGTTATCAAGGCTAATAAGGTTTGTTTAATTTTTTACAGTACAAATAGGCGGTGGTGCTGAGCGTCTTACATCGCAGCACACTCGAGAAGAAATGCCGCTGGAAGAAGAATCCTCACAAAATTCCACCGGCGAACAACGTCATCATCATCATCGTCAGCAGCAGCATCAGCAGCAGCAGCAACAGCAGCAGCAGCAGCATCAACAGCAGCAGATCGAGGAAAACGATCGGGAACGTCATCGTCGACAGGAGGAGGAGGAGGAGGAGGAGGAGGAGGAGGAGGAGGAGGTTAGAGATAATTTTACTTTTATAGATTTAAGGGCGGAAAACTCGCGTCGGTTTAGGAATTTCGCGTTATTAGGGAGAGAGGCAACTTTCGCGATACGACCGCCACCCGAGGGTACCGATATCGTTCGATGGATAGAAAACGCGTTCCGTGAAATTAGGACGTACGCGCTACATTCGTGCGAACCGAACGATTACGTAGGATTATCGTTCGAATCGGCGGATCTAGCGCGCGGTCCGGCCGGTCTATCGTTTCGTCCAGCACGCGACTTAACTCACGAGGACATATGGCAACTCGTGAGTTCGTTGGCGCAAAGTGCCGGAGGGTTCGATATCGCGGAAAATTTTACCGTGCGTGTTTTTAAAGTCTCGGTACCCGCAGGTCGCGGACGTCAATCTAATAGATTGACTCGCGAAGACATAGCCAAACGCTCGATTTTACAAATAAATAACACAGACAATTTGTGTTTTCCCCGTTCGATCGTAGTGGCTCGCACATATCAAGAGCGCGGGCAACTTCGTACGGGGGAATTGCAAGAAAAATGGGAATCCGTGAGATACCAGCGTTCTTCGTTACAGCGTAAGCTGGCCGAAGAATTAACGAAATCCGCTGGTATCACTATTCCCGAGGAAGGCTGTGGTATTCGTGAAATCGAGCAATTCCAACGGATTCTCGCTACCGAAAACATTGCTATAATGGTATATAATTTTAGAACTTTCGGTCGAGGCGAGAATCCGATGTATGACGGCTGCTCGTTACTTTCCTCCCTAGGTCGCGAATCCTCGTGCCGTTTAAACGTAATGTATTACGAGGGCTCGCGACATTATAATCCTATACTAAATTTAAAAGCCGCCGCCGGTTCTCGTGGAGGATATTGCGTAGCGTGCAACGTGGGCTTTCGTAACAATCGAGGGCATCGGTGCTCAAAAAAATGCCCACGTTGCTACGCCACCCCGTCTTGCGAGCTCCCCGACGTTGAGCTGATTAAGTGCGATTCGTGCGCTCGCGTCTTCTTCGGACGCCCGTGTTTCGATCGTCATCGAACGCAGGGATCGTATAATCAATCCCTCTCAAGCGTTTGCGAATCCATTAAAATTTGCAACGGTTGCGGGCGATTGATTAATTCAAAATCGCGACACGATTGCGACGTAATTTATTGTAAAACGTGCCGTTCGTTACGGTCTTCGAATCATTTGTGTTACATGCGGCCTCTTTGTCGTAAAGCCACAGTAGAAAACCCTGGAGAGGGTACAAGTACTATGGCGTTGCGAGAAGAAAATCCGCAAACAAATACGAATGACGCCGAAGACGCGGACGAGCGTGTTAAAAAAGATCGCGTCGCATTCGTGTTTTATGATTTCGAAACGCGGCAAGACGAAACGCTCGAAGGAACGGAGAACGTAAGAATTCACGTTCCAACTCTCTGCGTCGCGCAACAAATTTGCGAAGCGTGCGCGGGAATAGAGGCCATGTCTTTGCGATGTCGTTGGTGTGGAGTGCGCGAATTCGTATTTAGTAGAGACCCCGTAAAAGAGTTTGTCGATTTCGCGACGCGCTCATCTAAATATTTTAAAAAATTTATCTGTATCGGGCATAATGCTAAAGCATTTGACGCTCAATTTATTTTAAAGTACATCGTTGAAAAGTCGGGAATAACGGAAGAACCTCGGGTGATTTTGAACGGAACGAAAATTATCGTTATGACGGTTGGACGTACAAAATGTATCGATAGCTCAAATTATATATCTATGCGGAGTTACTCAAGGCTTTCGGGCTGCAGGATACTCTGGGTAAAGGTTTTTTTCCTCATTTGTTTAATTATTGATATTATTCGCCCGAACAAATGAAACCCGAGGAACACGAGCGTTTTATGGTTTGGCACGAGGAAATGTCGCGTTCGAATTTCGATTTTAATTTTAAACAGGAGATAATAAAATATTGTCGAAACGACGTAGATATCCTTCGACGCGCGTGCATGGCGTTCAGAAAAATCTTTTTAGAACGCGGAGACGTGTGTCCGTTCGCAGAATGCACGACTATCGCTTCAACATGTATGAAAGTTTTTCGTAAAAACTTTTTACGTGAGGAAGAAATAGGAATCATTCCACCGGGCGGATATAGATATAAAGATAATCACTCGCACAAAGCCCTGCAGTGGTTAGTGTGGATGGAGCGCGAGCTCGGGCATCCTATATCCATGCAGGGCGAGGCCGCGAGTATCGAATTGCCGGTACATCCGTCGACGGATATTACGAAGTCGAATCAGAGAACGAGACGTCGCGTTACGTGTTACAATTTCACGGTTGTTTTTGGCACGTTGTCCCAGCTGTTCAAATCAATCGCGAAAGACTTACGTCCGGGGTGTCGCGCGAAGATACAATCGACGCACGATACGAACGAACTTTCGCAATGACATGGCGTCTTCGACAACGAAGATATAGGGTGATAGAAAAACGGGAGTGCGAATTTTCACGAAAAAAGCGCGAAAATCACGAGATGAAAATCACACTTTTCTCGAAAGCCATCCGATATTGATCAACCCTCCTCTCGACCCTCGCGAGGCGTTCTTTGGTGGCCGTACGGAAAATATCGTAACTCGATAGTACGGAGAAAATACGCTACGTGGACGTATGTTCTCTGTATATGTACGTATTAAAAACGGGTACTTTTCTGTTAGGCCAGCCAACGATTTATATTGGAGGACAGTGTTTGGAGCTGATTGGCGCAGCTCCGAATTTTAATTTCGATTGTGTCGAGGGTATCATTCGGTGCACAGTACTTCCTCCACGCGATCTTTTTTACCCTGTACTCCCGTACCGCGTACAAGGTAAATTGTTGTTCGGGCTGTGCCGTAGTTGCTGCGAAACGTTCTCGCAGGCCGAGTGCATTCACTATTTCCGCGCTGATCGTGAATTCGTAGGAGCGTGGGTATCCTGCGAATTGCGCAAGGCTCTCGAGAAAGGTTATCTCGTAACGAACGTGAGCGAAATATGGCAGTTTACAGTCACGCGGCTCGATCCTCGTACGAGGCAGGGTGGTTTGTTTACCGAATATATCAACAGTTTTTTGAAATTAAAGCAGGAAGCTAGCGGATGGCCGAGCGAATGCCTGGATGACGAGATTAAGGAACAGTATCTTCGGAAATACGAAAAAACCGAAGGTATTGTTTTCAATAAAAACAATATCGCCCGAAATCCAGGTTTACGTTCGGTCGCAAAGCTCTGCCTGAATTCTTTCTGGGGTAAATTCGGCCAATGAACTAATCTGCCTAATACAATGATCGTAAAAAAAACGATCGTTTGGCAGCGTTGCTCATGAGTTCAGAGCACGAAATAACCAATATATTACCTGTCACTGACGAAGTAATATACGAGGGTCGTTTGAAAAGTCCGTGCAAAGTCACTGCTGATGGCACTACTGGCGCGTATCAAGGTTAGATTTAGTTAGTAGCATCTCTTGGAGGAACACACACCAAGTTACAGCCAGATCGGTCTATTTGTTTGTGTTTGGCATTCATTTGAATCGAGGAAGTCGAG